TCAATACATCCCTTAAAACACTCACTTTGATCTCAAGAAATTATCCAAAACCCAACACAACAAGATTTAGAATGAACTTCAAGAACACCTATAAAAAACTATAATCTTTCAACTTCAAGAATGAAATTTGCGTTGAAAATAACATTTTTAGCTTGTGGGTGAACAAACCCAACACTATGGAAGCTTACATACCTCTTAGGGATCAAACCCATGGCGAAAATCCGCTACAACACGCAAGAATCTCGATGAACGCTTGATCCTCTCCTCTTCTCTCTTCTTGAACTCTCAACTAAAACCCTAGGCTAATTTTTGGATTATAAAACTGAACCTAATAGGATTAGACCCTTAAAACCTTACTAAAAAGGAATTAAATATGATTGGGTAAGAAAAAGACCAAAATACCCTTTACTATTTCCGGCTAACTTTCCTTAACTGGACAACCTAACTTCAAAAGGCCATATCTCACTCATCCGAACTCGAAACTTAGCAAACTGGGCGGCGTTGGAAAGATAATTCAAAGATATTCGCTACGGTATCTGGTAGCACACCTAAATCATCCTGAGCTAGGAGTTATGGTCGTTTGAAGTTGACCCAAAACTCATACTTAGCTTAACTTGCAAAATTTCAGATTTTGCTATTTCCAATTTAATTCTTTTTGGAACTCAAGGTGCTACATCTAATGACCTTTAACACTTTAAGAAATTTTTAATCCTTGCAAAAATCTCACTCACTACGAAGAAAGGTTCGGATCTTAGCTCAAAAATTTTCTGGGGTGTTACAGTTTTGGACGGTGAGAGGCGACAAAAGGCGACAAGGGCCTGCCTCGCCACGCGGTTTTGAATCGAGGCGCCAATTAATACCAAAATTAAAAATTTTAATTGCATATATAAATATCCAAATTCTTAATAGCAATAACTATATTAGCAAACATTTCAATTAAAAACTAATAGTAGATATTAAAAGTCTAGAACTTGAATGAACCAATAATTCAAAATACTCTATTAATTAGTATAAAGCTAAATTAAGTAGGGAAGAAATAGTTATAAAAGAATTATTTTCTTTTTTAAAAAAATATAGGCAGTGAGCAGCAGAGGACTTCATAACAGAAGAACAAAGCACTCAGTTCATACTTCACCACCAGTCTACCACTAAATATAGAGGTTTGAAAAACAGAGCAGCATAGTCATACTGTTGAAAAACAGAGAAAAAGAAGAAAAGAAGGGAAGAACTAGAAGTGAAGAAGAGATTCACGTAAGTCTCCAGGGGTCGTACCTGAACAACAGTCGCGTAAGTCGTACTTGAGTAGCAGTGTCGCGATTCGCGAAGGTCACGTAAGTCTCTAGGGGTCGCGACTTGAGAAATCTGAGGAGAAGCAGTCGCGACGCCTAATCTGAGGTGAGTTTGCAAAAATACCCCAAAAAAAAACCCTAATTTTGGCTATTAATTATTAAATCTGACTTTTGAAAAAAAATAAAACAAAAAGGCGTCGCCTATTGCATCACCACGTCACGTCGCCAGTCGCCTTTTGATTGCCATGGCACATCTTTTTGAATTCGCCACACCTCGCTGGAAATAGGCGGAGAGGCCTCGCCTCGCCTCGCCTCGCCACGCCTCATCGCCAAAGGCGAAAGGCGCTCGCCTTTAAGAACACTAGTGTGAACAAATGCTTATTGTGTCTTATCGGAAATGTCATAACCTTTCATAAAAGTCACAATTTTTCATAAAAGTCGCAACTCTTCATAAAAGTCAAAACTCTTCATAAAAGTAAATAAAGTTCATGAAACGGGAAGGCTAATTTTGGAAATAAAATAAATTAAAAGGGAATCTTGGTTTGTGGTAGCGCCACGTATGCGAGTCTAGGGTTCTCTTTTATATATATATATATATGATCGAGATATCTTAATTCCTCGTGTTGTTTCAAATGTTTTGCTATTTAGTTTAATTATTGTATTAGCATTTAATTTAATATTCCATATCAAATCATGAAATCTTAGGGATATTTAGGTGATTCCATACTACGAACTCATATTTTAAACTTCTGATTAAAAATGAAGGCGTATTTTCTCAACTACAAAAATGGAGGGGATATTAGCTAACCCTACATTCTTAACTTCAATATATCGATTGTTAGAGGTATTTACCCTAAAAATATAATGAGGTTTCTACCAATTCAACTACTTTTGCTATATATTTGTTAGAAAACTTAAATCAATTACTTTTGCCCAAAGGAATTAGACTATTATAGTAAAAAGAACAAAGTACATTTTATCATGTTATAGCACATTTAACGTATTTTCGAAGTTACTAATCCAACTTATTATACATAATAAATAGCTACTTTTAACTTATAATCTTTTAATTGACCTAATAGTATAGAAAGTATTTTAATACTATTAGGGATCATCTGGTTTCAAAACAAAGTTATCCCATGGTTAATGCCTAAACTTTCATATACAATATAAACTGGTTTAGCCAATTCTAACGACAAGACGATGAATAAATATATAATTTTAAAAGTTAATACAACAACAACAAAAAAAAAAATCTAGTGTAATCTCACAAGTAGTTTGTGGAGTATAAGATGTACACAGATCTTATCCTCCTACCTTTATAAGGTAGATAGACTGTTTCCACTAAATTCTCGGCTCAAAAGAGAATTATCTTTGGGCTTCTTCATACCGGGCCTGCTCAGCTGAAACAGATTCTGGCCGATATTCAAGTCCTTGGGCCTAATACAACGATAGCCCAATTAGGGCATCCTTAACCCAACTATGTAGTTTTGTTTTTAGCATTTTAATCCTTAGTTTACTTTCTTAAATAAGCATTTCTTTGTACAATTTTATTCAGAGAAAGAGATACAGAAAATATCCCAAACTTGTTCTTCAAGATTTTCTGTGACATCTTTGAGAAAATAATCTTGTTTGATTGGTTTATCATTTGTCTTTTTGTGAATGAATAACCTAGTAAATTGAACTAAGTAAACTCAAAAATTGGCGATATCATTTATTATATTCTAAATATGTAGTATACTATTAGTAACCCAATCTTTATATTTTTTTTAAAGAATCTTGACGATTTTAAAAATAATATATGATTGAAAGTGAACAGATTCAGAATAAACAAACCAAGAAGTAAATAAAGAAGAACTCTGCAAAGCAAAAAAAGAAAATAAAGCACAAAGATTATAATTAAGAAGGCTTGATGGAGCAGAGACCACTAAACGAGGCATGACAAGGCATGTTAAATTTAGAAGATTAAGGTTAGTCTTTCCCTTTTTGTTCCACTATGTTTGTCATCCTGTAATTTTCATGTATTTGTTTTTCATATTTTGAGTCCCTTAATAAAAACTTTATTTTCACCACATATGATGTGATACAACACTTAAATAGTTACAATCACATTTATATCTAAATTATAGATTTATAGCCTCTTACGATCATTGTAAATTGGTATATGTGAATCAAAGTGACTTGCAAAGCGACCATATAAGATTTGTGAGAAGCATTGAAGATCATGTACAAAGAGCACCACCCAAGAGTGAGGGTGCAGGGCAAGTCTGAGTAGTAAGAAGAAAATGATACAATGCAACGCCAAGTGTAGTAATGCATATCTGACCTAGAGATACACAATTATTGTCTCTTAGTCTAGGATTCATGGGGGATATATATATCCATGCATTCATTGCGACGTATGATACGACTCTCGATAATAGAATTCGTTGTGGCGTACGACACGTTCTTCAAATCATATCGGTGCGGCGCGCAACACGTCCCTCGAATTGGTACATCCTTTTTAATTTCTTATTATTCCTTACTTCATATAACACTTGTCACAATCATGTCTCAGAACCAATGCAAATGAACTGTTCACACAAATAATGAGAAAATGACTATTTCCATATCAATGCACAATTCACAACAACACAATCGTGATACAACATCAACAATGAATCAATGAACCTTTTAAATCATTCAACACATCACACATCAATATATAATCAAGTTGTCTTTTATTATCCCATTTTTAACATTAGGATCAATTAATATGAACAAGTCAACCCATCACCAAGTCTCATTACTTCCTAACAAATATCACAAGGAAATACACAATTCAATATCGGCTACAACCAGAAGTAAATCTGAACCAACCACTACACACTCGAAATTTCCAAACCAACTTTAGTGACTGATAAGAAATGACTTGGGGCCACGCTCGGGAGGGGTAAATCGATAATTTACAAAATAATTCAAAAATGACCTTAGGGGTCATTACACAATTCTCATGTTAATTGACACATAGAACACATGTGTCTACTTGTGCATACCTAGAATTGGAAACATAAATGTCAGTTGAAGCGAAGTGCAATGACACATTATTTATTACGTCTATCTTTTATTCTCTATTATCGATGTAGATAAATGAATTTTGATTGTCATAAATAAATAAAAATATAAAATTTATTTACAATATAAATAAATAATCTTTTAAGTTTTTATGAAATATATCTTTAATTTTATTAATTATTTTTTAATTAATGCATCAAATTATGTTTATAAGGCTATCATATTATAGATATTCTTAAAATCAATAAAAAAATTTATTTTGTTCATTCGAGAATGACATTAGCTTATATACTCAATCAATATTTTTATTTTTTAGATTAATAGTTTACTATAGGATATTTGTTATACAAATGAAAAAAAATAAAATATTGTGATTTTAAAAAAGTATATAAAAAAAAGATAAAGATTGATAATGTAGGGTAGAATAAACATTTAATAAAGTCAATAATGAAAATGGGGGAAATTAAATGTTTCTCAAAGTTGAAGGGGGAGTTTGATCTTTAAAATAAAGTTGGGGGTATAAATGATTTTTACGCTATTTAATTAGCCAATGGTTTTGATAACACATGGTTTTAGCCCATTGTTTTGTAAAAAAGTGGTTTTTAGTTATCTATATAAGTAGAGAGGACAGTGAACAATTTTCAGATCAAAAGAAAAATTTCAGTAAAACCCTAAAAACTCTCATTTTTCCCTTTTCTAAAACTGCCACAGTTATCCCGTTATTCATATTTTCCGGTGAGCTCCACCACCCAAACACCACCTCCCCCCCTCTCCTTGTTTGCTGCTACCAGTAACCAAACCAACAACAGCCTAAAACCACAACCTAACCATATATATTTTTTGGCTTTGCTTAATTAATTGTTGATTTGTTCTCTTAATGTTTTGGGTTAAATTTTAATGATTGTTATTTTTTAATGAATGTGTTTGGCTACTATTTGTTCATTACTTCATCATTGTTGCACTTTTTTATTCCAGTTTTAATCGGTGAATTTTGTAATGTTATTTATCAATTGTTTCCGTCAATTTGAACAAATGACCAATGAAAAGATCTATCCGTCGATTTTTGAGGTCTTCTCATTTTTAAAGACGGAAAGTTTAGTTTAAATTTATATAACACATCATACAGTACAAGTTAAAATTGACTGATGAAGAAATTTTCTCCGATTTCTAAGGCCTTTCATCTTAATAAAACTTAAGGGCTTATTTATTCCACTTTAGAATAGTCCCCTGTAAAGTATAAGTGTGTTGTTGGATACCCGATAATAGATTGGAAGACCAAATAGTAGATATTGAATCCTTTTAATTTTGATTACTATTATTTTGATGCATTTTTTTTTTTTTGATTCATGAAAAGTAAATTGTACAAGGCTACAAGCATGGCACATATTCATGTATTATGTTAGTTAAAATTGTTCCTTTTTTCATACCCAAATGTAGGACAATTAAAAATCAACAGTGTAGATATTTTGTTAGTTAATTGTTTTTATTTTTATTACATAAAAATAGTTTAAATAAAAAGTTGTAAAAGGGAAGTGATGGCAACATGTCCTAAATTTGGTTTTCACCAAGAAATCATATCTCATTCTTGGTCAAAAATAAATTAAGGATTTGTCACCATCACTCTCTTTTCCAACTTTTATTCAAAATCTGTTGTTTTGGTAATAAAAAAAATCAAAAAACTAACAAAATATCCACACCGTTGATTTTTAATTATCCTGCATCTAAGAACAATTTGAATTTATCAAATTACATGAATAAGTGTTATACTTATAGTCTTGTAAAATTAATTTTTCATGTATAGAGAAGTAGTTCATTGCAAGCAAATTCTTAAAGGAAACAGTAAAAAAACAATCCCTACAAGAAAAAATAAATTAAAAATCGTCCTTCGAAGGTTAGGTTTTGAAAAAATATTTTGTTAACAAAACTAACCTTTGGAGTTTATAAAATAGCCTCTAGAGATCGATATTTTTATAGCAATATTCATAATGTAATTATTTAGATAGTTTTTGTTATGAAGAGATTATTCTCTTGTAGTTTTAATATTTTTCTATATTAGTTTTACATATATAGGTCAATTTTGACCAAACCCCATTATGTTTTATGGATCTTTAGTATATCTTTTTATTATATGGTTTATTGTATTTTAAAGTTTACAATTATTGATCTCCGCAGGACATCTTTTTATTTTGATCCCAACAAACAAGTTCTACAAGAAATATTTTATATTGAAGTCCTCCTCACTCTCCAACCGCACAAATCTTCACTCCCACAAAGTTTACTTTATATTTCTGGTGGATCGTTTTATATATCTTTGTTGCTCATCACGTGTTTGTGTACAAATTACCTAAAAGGCAATTAGGGTCAAATCTTTCTATAATAGCAGTATTTGTTTAAAATTTTTATGATTATATTATAGTGAGATATTGCTATATATGTATATTAGTATTTAATGTTTAGATCTTATTTAGATACTATATATAAACAAAAGTATGTAAAATTAGAAAGGATGTGAATGTAAAGAATGACAAACACTTATAGTCTTTCCCCGTGAAGTTATGGCCATGCACCATTACACAATATATATTTTTTATGAATATCTGTATTTGAGTTTTACTATGTTTATTTAATAATGAATTAATTAAGGTAAAAAAAGATAATACAAAGGTGATGATAATTCAGTTGAGCAACCACAACTGTATATATATCGATGCGCCGCAAATGGAACAAAAATTTTCTAACCTAACTTTATAAATTTCTTGCAAGTTTGTACAAAAAACAGATATAGATAGTAAAAGTGTAAACATTTGATATTATATTTCTCTTTTGACATTCAATACTCACTTTAATTGGTTAAATTTTAAGGGGTAAAACATTTCTTATTAAAAAGGATTATAATCTTAAGGCACAAACTTAAATCTTCTAGGTAAGAATGAAGTACTTATCGACCACTTCACCATAACATTTTGTGGTCTAAACTCTAAAGTGAAACGAAATATATAGTTCTAAGCATTGCCTATAAATAGTCAGTGGTGGATTCATGATTTTAATTGAAGGAGTTCGAAACATAAAAATAAAATATAGTGCTTGAAATTTGAAACTTCAAGGTGCATTTTAACACCTAAACAACCGAGCCAATTCATGTGTTCACATAATTCAGAATCGATCGCTAAATATACATAAAATTCAAAAAATTATCTTCATTTATAGTGTATTTTTTTGTAGATAAGGTTCAGTTACACTTTCATGAGTCATGAGGCTCCAGATCCGCTCCTATATATAGATAGTGTCAAATTTCTTATAATACACGTCAATGTAAGCATATTGTATGATTTTATAATATTGTTAACTAGCTATTTTTAATACTCAAACTCGCAATCTATAATTAAAAAGGAACAAGTAAAAACAACAATCTTTAAGTTTAGTAGTTAAAACATTTGATGATGACACTCTTTTAACTTTTTCTTACCAACTAATTTGCAAGTAGATAATGTATTCAGAAAGTGTCATTTTATTATACGATAACTTGTAAGTAATCTATATATATATAATTTAAATAAAATGGTAGAATTTAACAAATTCAAAACCTTCGTAAATGGACAAAGCCGGTCAACTATATTAATTAAGTGGTAGATAATTTTCACACTATTGCATTATTTAACAATACTTCATCCGTCTCAAAATATTTATTCATATTTCATTTTTTGAAAGTTAATTTGGCTAAATTTTGAAGCTAAATTAAATTAATATGATATTTTCAAATTTTAGCTTAGATGTTCAAGAACTTCATGAAAAATATTATAAATTGTATTTTTTTCTAATATCAATATGGTAAAAACATCCTAACAGTTGATCAAAGTACATTCAATTACTTTGCTATAATAAATTGAACATTGTATGTGGGTAAATATTTACCATATTTAGGACTCAATTTAATGAATCAATCGAGACGTAAGTATGATGTAATTAGATCACGTTAGAGTATTGCTTTTGCTAAATTTATTAGCTCCACTAATTTGAAATTCCATGGTGTAGTGTAGGATATAAATTCTTAGTAAGATTGATTTAAAATATAAAAAGTAAATACTGATGAAAAAAAAAATCAACATATAATAAACATATATAAAAATATAAATAAAAGGTAACTTATAGAAATTTCACTATTTTACATTTAGGAGCTAATTACTTAAATGTACTCTAGTTTGCAATAAGTAGATTTTGGTACGTTCAAATACACTGAATCTAAGTGGATTCACATGTATCTGAGAAACAAAGACAAACTCACATCCTTTGCCTCCCTCACACAGTGGCGGAGGGAGGATTTTCATCAAGGGGGTTCAAAAAAAAAATTAATCACGTAAATAATATCTACAAATAAATTAAACGGGTCGAATCGGATATAAAACGGGTCGGATTAAACTGTCGAATCAAGAAGAAAAGGGTTTTTTAATATTTGACTTTATAATTAGGGATTAAACTAATAAATCCTAAATTTCCAATCATCGTTTTATTTTTTTGGAACTAAACATCATTTTCTGATTGCATTATTATATTTTTTAAATAAATTAAAAACGCCTAAAATATAAGCTGATAAAAGAAATGCCTCTGCCCGGATTCGAACACGCGACCTCGCGTGCAGTAGAGTGAATTCCTGAACCCCCAACGCCACTGAGCTACGCCTTTGGTGTATGTTCAGGGGGTTCAGTACTATATATAAACACGTATATTAAAAATTTAATCTTATATATATAGTGTAATTTTTCGACGAAGGGGGTTCGGATGAACCCCCTTCGTCCTACGTAAATCCGCCCCTGCCCTCACATCTTGCACGCCACTCTCCTATGTGTTTGTATCTCAGATACATACGAATCACACCAGACACATATAAATACATGTCTAATATGTATCTAGTGTAATTCAATGTACCTGGAATATACAAATCTCTTTCCCCACCTCACTCACATCTCCCTATTTCAATGTATTTGTTGATAGCAAAAATACAAATATTATCTTCCTTAATATAACCACCCCCTCTTTGGATTTCACTACTTTGACTCTAACCAGAAATTCTACACGTTTTGTTTATGAATATAATAAATGATCTAAAAAAATATCTTCTTGTTCTGGATTCTTCGTCATTTTTAAAAATAAAATAAAAAACTACAACTCTACAAATTGATTATTTCCACGATTTTATACACGTTATGCAAATGTAAAGATAAGACATTAAATATTTTGGTTATGCTTCTATCAAAATTGGTTTTGAGATGGTGTGTTGATCATGGATTCAATATTCTTACTATTGAATCTGATTTCATGATTGTGACAATGACATTCATTCTTTGCTAGTTCAACCATATTTTTAGAGAAGGGAACTCTACTACTGATCTTTAAGTAGTTTGTGGAGGATAAGATGCACACAAACTTTATCTCCCTACCTTTGTAAGGTAGATACGATAGACTATTTCCGCTACATCCTCGACTCAAAAGAGAATTATCTTTGGGATTCTTCATATCGGGACTGCTCAACTGAAACTAATTTTGGCCAATATTCAAGTCCTTGGGCCTAATACAACGATAGCCCAATTATGACATCCTTAACCCAACTATATAGTTTGTTTTTAGTATTTTAATCCTCAGTTTACTTGCTTAAATAAGCAATTCTTTGTACAATTTTATTCAGAGAGAGAAATACATAAAATATCTCAAACTTGTTCTTCAAGATTTTCTGTGAAATTTTTGAGAAAATAATCTTATTTGATTGGTTTATTAATTATCTTTTCTAGTAAATTGAACTAAGTAAATTCAAAAATCGGCAACGTTATTTATTATATTCTAAATATGTAGTGTAATATTAGTAACTCAATCTTTATATTTTTTTAAAGAATCTTGACAATTTTTAAAATAATATATGATTAAATGTGAACAGATTTAGAATAAACAAATCAAGAAGTAAAATAAAGAAGAATACTGCAAAGCAAAAACGAAAAAAAACACAAAAGATTATAATTAAGAAAGCTTAATGAAGCAGAACACTTAACGAGGCATGACAAGGCATTTTAATTTAGTGAATTAAGGTTAGTCTTTTTCTTTCTGTTCCACTTTGTTTGTCATCTGTAATTTTCACATATTTATTTCTTCATGTTTTGAATCCCTTAGTAAAAACTTTATTTTCACCACATATAGTGCAATACAACACTTAAATAGTTGCAATCTCATATATATGAATTATAGATTTATAGCCTCTTACAATCATTGTAAATCGGTCCATGTGGATCAAAATGACTTGCAAAGCGACCATATAATATTTGTGGGAAGCATTGAAGATCAAGTACAAAGAGCATGTAAAGACCGGGTTCCGTCGTCATAGAGAAGCCAATGGGAAAATTTTTGGGTCAGAAAACTTTTTCGTAGTAATTTGGATTTTTCCAACCTAGTCCAAATTTGGACGGAATCGGAGTCATTAAGGTGTAGGCAAATGGTAACAATTGGGTGATTTATTTAAAATTTTGATTACATGAGGGGATAGATAACTCGTTAAGGAATCCGTACGGCTTTACGGAATTGAATTCGGGCGATTAGAAATCCCAGAATCGATCTTAGCGTGAATGGTATTTTCTGAGCATCGTTGGTTAGAGGTGTGTTAAATGGGGATTTTGGAATTTTTAAAATAGCTCACTGGTTCGTGCAAGCCGCCTTGGCAGGGATTTTTGCCACTCTGGCGGGGACGCTACAACGGGGTGAGGGCCGCTGTGGCGGGCTCGATGCGACTTAAGGTCGTTAATAAACCCCTAAACGACCTTATTATGAACTTTTCGACTTTTAGAGCTAAGGAACGAACCCAGGCGACTCCTACTCGTTTTTCACCATTCTTAAGGCTAAAGGTAAGCTTTTCACTCCCCGAATCCGATTTTCAATCTGTAGAATGTAGTAGAATGGGTAATTAATGATGGGGGAGGGTTTTGATCTAGAATCTATGGTGGAAACAACCCTAATTGGGATAATTAGGATCATGGGTATGATCTAGGGTTCATAGAATTGTTAGTGATTCGGGTAATTAGTGATTGTTTATTGATTCCCGTGTTATTATGATTATTTGTAGACCAAGAACAAGCGGAACGGATCAGGAAAGGGAAAGATCAAGTTTCTTAGGATTTCAAGATTGTTTCGAGGTAGGTGATGGCTGTGATTCTGTGATTGTGTGATATATGTTTGTTCTTGCTTCATTATGATACTTGCATGTATTTGAATGTTGCATTATTGATCACACTTGATATAAATGAGATAGATATATGATGATTGTCATGAAACCATGACTTAAATGTGTGATCTTGAGGATGTACTTGTGATTGTGATTGTGATGTATTGAATGCATCGGTTGCCACGTTCCAACATAACTAAGTTGGATAGGTTGCACGTTCCGGCATAACAATGGCATCGGTTGCCATGTTTTGGCATAATTATCGGATCGGGTACCACGTTCAGGTATGTTAACTGTTTGGGTTTGGGTTCCATGAAAGGACCAATGATTTGATATAATTGTGTATCTTGAGAA